CCATCGATAAACACTGGCCCTGGATGGAGCTTCATCACCAAAAATTGAACCAAGTCCATCCATGCATTGCTGTTGAGTTAGTCCACGTCGAAAGTTGTAGAAAATAATCGCGCGAAAATGCTTACGATTCAACCCCTTAACTTGGCCTAAACAAAATCTTATAACTTAGTCTAAACAGAACAAATCGCGCTCAAATTTCGCAATGTAACCTCGAAATAGTCAAACTTTACGCTAGTGGTGTCAGTCGCTAGATTGCTACACTAGTGTTGCCAAATCTCAAAATATAAAAGGCAACCCTTGTATTTTTGGGATGCCTGCAGGTGTTTCACATTGAAGTTATGAGAGTGAGGACATAGATCTAAGGGTCGAGCGGGTTTCACATACTTCACGAAAATGAGTCTAATTCCATTAGGTAGGGGAAGGAAACCCAAAGCAAAGAGACAGAGCTGAGACTCTAACTATTCAGCTATTATTCCGCATTGTACCACCAAAACGTTTTTCCGGAAACGCTTTGATCAATATCTTTTTCATGTTTGTGGTCCTTTACTCTACTACTATGAACTCATGGAGAGCATGATTATCTTCAAGATTTGTATGTATGTAATTGGAATCGTCTCGCACTTAATTGTGAAGAAACTGCTTGGATTTACTCACTGGAGTAGCAACACCTTATCTTCACATGTCATTGTATTTTCACATGTGCATTCGAATGCATTTTCCTAGTGGAGGTAAATGTATGGCCTGCATACTCCAGAGTGCGGCTGTTACTCCAATTTTTTCTTCATCTCGAGGAGATGTATTCCTCTGGTCTTCTGGATCTCCCCACAAGGTTTGTGCATTGGCAAGCAGACCTTCTGGGGGAAGTCATTCGCGAGCAGGGAATTCTCAAACCTCGGCCGTCTAATCACGTAGGTGCGAATAAAAGGAACAAGGTCACATAGAATAAGGAAAGTAATTTCCAACGAGTGGAACCATTTTCGTCTACGGCAAGCTTGACCCTCTTCTAAGTAATAAAAGAGCATTAGGGGAAGTGGTGTGGAAAAAGCAGAAATGCTCAAGGTGAAGGAACGCTTATGGCTCTATTTTCGAATGAGAATATGATATTGTTCATAAGAAGGGAAGCACGCAAGGTTTCTTGGGTTCCTACTATGTACATGTAGCAGGATTCATGTTCAAAGGAATTCCAGCTCTCTCGCTCTTGCACTGTGTTCATTGTACATATTATTTAAATGCTACTCTGCCAGAGTATGTTTGTTTTCCAAATAAATTGTTGACAAATCGATATTGTTTTTTTAGGATCTCAAGCGAAGCTAAGGAAAGTCTTTAAGCATGACAATATAGCCGTTTTTGCACTCCTATTACAGTAGCGCTCAAAAGTCTTCGGTGAAATGGTTCTTCAGCCGTACGTTTAAGTCGTAACTCCTTTCCTACTGGATCTAATCTTGCGAAATTTCTAGGTTTGGAGCGTGGGTGTATTGTGAACATTTACCACTATCAACCTGCAATCTGATCGTGTTCCAGATATTCCAAAGAGCATGAACTCAAAATCGACTGAAAATGGAGATGATGGTCCTCCTNAGATACACTCTAGTTAAACATATCCAAATTTCGCGCGATTTGGTCTACTAAGAAAAAAGTTATGAGCGAAAAAGAGTCAAAGCATTTCACCGAAGACTTTTGAGCGCTACTGTATATTCTTTTTGCAAACAGTACTCAATTGTGCTGGAGCAATTGGATAATTGAGTTCGGCAATCTAACCGAATAGATCTTTTCTTTCGAAAGAGAGTCTGAATAAATGGCCCAATCCGAAAGCTCTAGGGACTTCTCGTTTAGAGTGAAGAGATAAGAAGCTTTTCAATTAGATTAATTTGATCTCTTTCGTTAAGGATAAATCTGCGTGTATTTTTCTCAAAGTCACAGTTCATAATGAAAATGGTTTTTGAGATTCTCTATGGGATTAACCTATGACCTAAAAGAAAGCACAAGGGACGGTGTTGAGTCGAAAAATGGCTTAGAGATGAGGCGCAATCATTGCCCCATATCATCCGAAGTTGACGAGTTCCCGCGGCCTTGTAGAGGCTGTAGATGTAGCATCATTCGCACCCGGACACATACATTGCACGCAAGCAGCTAACTGTAGTCAACTGTAAGCAATAGCACACACATTTGGACAGCTCTTCCATATCTCTTCTATGCAACTTTTGTCGTCGAATTCTCGTCCAAGCAAATTACACATTTTTTTATGCTTCATAATCCACTAAAGGCGCCGATTTTCGTGCTATTTTCGCCAAACTTGTTCTATTCTGGGCTAACACTTCCATTATTCGTCTGAAACTAAATGAATAACCAAAAAAATTCCCCCAAATTATCGTGAACTGTGCCTTTGAACCTTTGACACTGCAGTGTTTTTGTACGTCTGCCGATAGGTGAGAGGACACGTGGTGTGTTCTGCGGTGTATGCAACTGGCATCTAGAATGACAGTTCTCAGTTGACGTAAAGAGAGTGATCCAACTTCATACACATGACGCCGTGGCGTCATCATGGCGTAGATTTCAGCTATACCTCGTCCTTCAGCTGGATTCCCATAGACGATGCACCACCCATTCATCTTCAAGAAGAGTTCTTTCAGACCTACACTATTTTAGGCCAGACGAAATCCAGACGCACTGATGTTATTTCCTATTTCAAGACGCTCGGAAAAACTGCAGTGCGGTTTGTGCAGCTTGTGTGATTTCGCTGGGCAGGTTTTTTTTTTCGGGCCCATTCTACTGTGAGCAGGGTAGCTTGCAAATGTAATTATTTACCGATTATAGCTTCATTTCGAAGGTAACTTTTCCACATGCAAGGTAGAGTGAATCCGTTGGTCGTGTTTTCTGCGTTTACCTAAAAATGTTCGGACCTTAGCAAGATTTGGGAGTGGATATCACTGTCGAGGCGCACCGCGCATTGCTGTACAGGGTGGGCCAAAATTATGATTACAGCGCGCGCTGACGTTCATAGCAAAATTTTTCTGAGTTCATAACAATTCATTGAATTTCTCCCATTCCACAAGGTGGCTTACATTGTTACCTTTCTAATGATACTAAACTTTTGGTAGATTTTGAAAATAATATAAGCGTAACTGGTCCGTGAATCAAACGTCGCTTTGCATTTACAAGCACTTTTGGCACAGTGCATCTACAGACGAACTAGCGTAACAAGGCAGGTGGTGCATTCAACCATAAGACGCTCTCGAGAGTCGGGAACAATTGCAGATAGGAGTGGTAAACCAAGGAGATCTGTGGTTATATTTAGGGGAAGTGTTAAGGAAGCAGGGTAAAGGTCTATGTAAGTACATAGCAGCATAATTCATTCTGAGTCCAAAAAGGCTAAATGAATGGATATCTCACGAAATTTTCTGCGTGAAATCGTGAAGCATAACCTGCACAACGAGACCCTTACACGACCAGAAGTGATCTCCCCAGTGAGCAGGTCGAAGAGAAGAGAAAGGTTGGCTAACAAAAGCTGCCCTGTCGCATCCGAAAAA